GAGGGTGGTAACCATTTCGAACATGTAGAGCATTAGAAACTTTTTACGATTAATACTATGAATATTACTAGATCGTATACTGAGATTCCAAATTCACAATAAAAAAAGTTAAAAATAATATCTTTAAAATGCTGACCTGAATATTATTTATTTGAATCTTTGAATTGGTTCGATTTTCCTTATTCAATGTTAATTAGCGCTTATCAATATTGCTGCGATGAAGATGAATATATATATATATATATATATGAAATGAACAAAATTCTTACAGCTTTAGTGTATATTAATAAATAATATTTTCTTGCCTTTAGCTGTGTATTTTTTTTCTAATTTCGAAAAATCGAAAGTAGAGAAAAAATTAAAAAGAAATAAAAAGTAAAAAGAAAATTGTTTTGCTTGTCGTAAAGGGGGTCCACAACCAAGCTCCACTCCCACAACCGGTTTCTGGGCCTACCTTTTTTCACCTGATGAAAGGTAGGCCCAGAAACCGGTTGTGGGAGTGGAGCTATACTTTTTATTTCTTTTTAATTTTTTCTCTACTTTCGATTTTTCGAAATTAGAAAAAATACACAGCTAAAGGCAAGAAAATATTATTTATTAATATACACTAAAGCTGTAAGAATTTTGTTCATTTTTTATATATTAAATAATTTAAAAACCAGAGTCGTACTTGAAATTATTTTAAATAATAATTAAATAATTTTGTTGTTGTTAGGTACCCAAAACAAAAAAAAGTATTAAGTGTGACATATCGTTATACTCAGGAGACCCAGTTCTTTCAAAGCCTGAAATAAAAAATGCAGGTCTGTATTTAAAAAAAAAGTTGGCCTCTGTATCTCACAAATTATCAGCTAACTTGAAAATCTAAAAGTACTGTCAGATAGCCCTATTAAAGTGGCTATAAGAATATGTAATTAGTTGTTTGATTTTCTAAAAAGTTACGACAGGAAAAAATAAAATTGATTTTCCAAAAAATCCGTTTTTCCCAAAAAAAACTCAGCAATTCTTGAAATTTTGAAACTTTTTTGATGGCATTTTGGTGAACATCTCAAGGCACAACTTTGCCCCTATTTAACCATCTTCGTATCTACTACGGTTTCCAAGATACCAATGCTCGTACCTCGAATTTGTAGCACCCTGTAGATGGATACATTTAGGGTTAAGGTGGGTTCATATACAGGCGAACTGCGATTTGCGAATTACGCAAAATAAATCCGGCCTTTATTTACGTAGTTCATATTATAATAACGAAATTCGCAATTAATTCTAGGGATATTTATGTTTTTAAACACATGTTGAAAATGTCACTTGTCAGGTTTATTTTTATAAGTATATTTTTGTGTAATGGATGAAGCTACTTTTTGGCATAGAAGACTATTTGTTGCTGTATATTTATTGATAAAAAACAACAAAAATAAAATACATAGGACAATGAGGAAAATGCATGTTTTTAAATAATGGTTTTAAAAAATAGTTCATATAATTACAAATTGAACAAAAAAAAATTGTTGATATCGGTTAAGAAATGCCTCTAATATAAAATAATTAAATATTGTTAATTTAAATGGCCGGGCAAACGCTCTCTACCGCGCCTTGCCGCTGTGACGTCACCCGCCGTTCTTCTGGTTGAGTGGAGCCAGACGCGTGTTTATTTTACACAGTTTACTTTTAAACGCTGTTGAATCCGAGTCAAAATTTTAGTTATTTGTGTTAATTAATGCATAATTAGTAATTAGTGATATTTATAAATAGTAATGGATGAGCGAAAACAGAAAAAAAATGGTCCAAGGCCATGAGAAGAGATGAAAAGAAAAACGTTATAGGGTTTTCACTTTTATTATATAGGGTGTTTCACTTAAAAAAGTAACTTAATTTTGGCGTTTGCTTATGGCACACCTTGTATAATATTTTCATTACTGATAAACAACTTATTTCCTATAATTTTGTAAAAAAAAACAATCTTTAAAAATAACAAGATAAGGGGGTGTCAATATATAAAAAAAACTTTCTTTTTCACGCTATGCTCTCGAGTTATTTTTCCACGTACTAAACAAATATTTTGTCTCTTTTCACTTCTACATAACCTACAGCATTATCTCCATACGTTTCACTACCTGATCTGAAAAATAAGTTTATAACATTAATTTATAACTATACATAAAAGTTCGTAACAGTAGGTACCTACTTATACTTAAATATGCCTCAGTACTACAAAGAATAAATGTTACATACCTCTCTGTTTTTTCCTCGTAATTCAGCACCAATAAATTGGGAATTTGTATTTATAAAAGCAGCCAACATAAAAGCATCGACTTTTGGCAAGTTATCTGATTGTGCTTTTACAAACCCGGAATCTGCCATTACTTAAAAAATTATCAGTACACACAACACATAGCAATAATAACTGCACAAAAAAGCATAAAAAGCTCCTTCAATCAACGCTAAAAGCAACAAAAATGTCTTAGTACGCCACCTAAATACGTACATAAACGGAACACGTCTGGCTGCTGCTGGCCATCGCGCGTCGACGAGAACGGCGGGTGACGTCAGACCAATAGAATATCGTTTCAATTCGCGGCGTCGTTTGCGTTATCCATAGTATTTTAATGGCGCGTTTTATAAAATTGTGGTACTGCTTTCAAGAAAAAAGTTTTTTTTGCATTTACACATATTTATTCTAATAAATTGAACAGTTTTTGGCGAAAAATAAAATCTTCCTCATTGGAACATTATTTCGTGGGCGTACAGCGAAAATCCACTAAGTCACATTTTTGGTTGAATTGGATTAAACACACCACTATGTCCAGTTTTTCACGGTCTTTAACATGAAAAACCCATTAAGTCCAATTTCGGCATCGTTATATTATATTAAAGACCGTGAAAAACTGGACATAGTGGTGTGTTTAATCCAATTCAACCAAAAATGTGACTTAGTGGATTTTCGCTGTACGCCCACGATTTATTGGAAATACTTAAAAAGTGAAAACAGCAAATGAAAATAGAAACAAAAAAGAAAACAGAACAATGTCAACTTTTGACATTTTCGCATATGGTTTATTTGAAGTTGTAACATGCGGTTCATATCGACAACTTGACTCGAAATACCAAGTGTGTGATACCAAATTATTCGTAAAAAATGTTTTTTCCAAATATCCAATGAACCACCGTTGTTCCATTTGAAAAAATTGAGCTATGATTAAAAATACGATTTGGGAATCCTTTAACCGGCCAGGACAAGACACGAAAAACATTAGACGATCAAAACTATTTTTCCAAGGCTCCTTGATTAAAAATAAGCGTTTTTAATACAGCCATGGCACTCTAGATTGAAATTTAAAATACGATTTTTTTGAAAATGTCATCAGTTGACATATGATATATCATTCTATTCAGAGTGTCATTATCTATCGAATAAAGTAAAAAAAAATGCCGAGGGTGTCATTTAAAAATCAAAAGTTGTAGTTATTTCCGATGAAACAGGAAGTGACATAGTCAGTCAATCCTAATGTATGTCGTATACTAACATACCAAATCTTGTTTTTTTATCTGCAAAAATTAAAAAGTTATAGGGGTGAGCCACTTTTGAGACGCATCCGGTATATTCATGAGGAAAAATTGATGTTACTAAAATTTATGCCTTAACCTGTGCCTTAACTGAACGGTACCCTATCCTATTTTTCCAGGAAGGTGTTAAAGGGAAAAGAAAATACCTTTTGTATTAGGCTAATTTACGCAAGGGTGAGCGCTAGTCATGTCTGCTTTAATCCAGATATTTTCCGGATCAAAGCGTTTCGAAATGGTAATAGCTAATATAAAACATGATATGTTATGTATATTAATACTTTAAAAGTGCAAACAAAGACATTAGTGTTTTTATTTTTTGCTTTTTAACAAAGAATTTGTTGAAAGCAATTGTTGAAGAATTTCTAAAATGAAAATATTTTAGAAAATGTTTGATATCGGATTTTGGGCGTGATTTAATATTTACGCAGACTTTTTTGGGGACACTGTATACTAAATTATGCTTAAATCCTTAGTTAGGCTGTATTCCGTTGGAAAACCAGGCGAACCAGACCGGTAAACTACGGTAAAGAGCGGTTCCTGAAAACATCGGTTTGATACGGAACGGTTTGGTAAAATACTGGAAATGTCAAATGTTGACGTTTTCAAAATTTCAATACCTTTATTATAAAATTTATCTTTTATGCATTTTTAATGTACCTATTCTCTGCTTTTAGGTTTGCTTCTTCTTTTCAATGAAGTTTAATATTGAAAAGTACTTTATTAATAAACTGTTAAACTCGTTAGACAGCTCAAGTGAAGATTTGCAGATCCAATATTAAAACAGATCAATAATAAATAAACAAATCTAATCAATATTTATATTTTTATAGCTTACAAAACATTCACGATTATTTGTTGTTTTGTTTTTCATGTTTTCTTTAAATGTTCCTGACTTTAAGAAACAATGGCTGCATGATACGTTGGTCATAAAAGGTCATTCTATTTAGTTAATGAAATTTATTTACCTTTACTGCCTACCTTCATTGCTTTTGGAAGTAAATACAAAATATTATAACAAATTTTAGAAATTAAATGAGAACTTCACTCGAACTTCCAATATTTGCTTGATTACTGTCACAAAAATGACACTGATTGACAAACAAAACCAGAAAAACCAGCCTTCTCGCGCTGGTTAGTATGGTGAAGGTATGGTGACAGTTATAACCGAATTTTTTAGGAACCGTGTTCCGTAATAAGAAAACTTTCAAGAAACCGATAGAAACGGAACATAAAACCATAAGAAGGTTTTACGACAGATGGCATCAGAAAAAAATGACAGAAAATTTAATTTATGTATGTGAATCATTATGTGAATAATGGGAAACGCAACTGTCACTGTCACTTGACTGTGTGACATACTGTAGTCATCATTGTCATTTTCATGCGATACGATTACAAACATAGTTTATTTTTATTTATGTACGTTTTTGTTTCAGGAAACAGACATGATTTAAAGCTACCTCCAGACGCATTTCGGAAAGCTGCCGACCTGTTGCGGCGGGGCTCAGACTTTACCATTGGTGCTTGGTTACGACAAGAATTAGACAATACGGGTACTATATTTAGTGTTTCAAATGGACCTACCAGATTTTTAGAGGTAACTATTTACTAATTACTCTGTTCAAGTTAGATGTTTATGTGGCCGGCTTAATTCGGACTATGTAACGTTCTAAATAATGCTAGACAAATAATGCTAGTGCTTTGTATTTGCCACCCGCTCGCATCGAGTGGCGTGACACATTTGGTCAAATGACTTTCTTTAGCCCACAATGAACAATCAATAATATGTTCAATATTAAGTACTTTTTATGTCTATTTAACTCTAAGTAGTCGTTCTATTTACAGTTAAACAGAAAATACATGTCAATTAAGGTTTCTTTAGATTGAGGTTAGTGATGAGCAAATGCAAGACCAAGGCTAAAGACCCTCTTGGTCTTGGTATTAGTCTTACAGTTTAACGAGTAGTCTTGTTTTTGGTCTTGCATGGTTTAGTCTTAGTCTTCTCCTTAGTATTTTGTACTTGTATAATATGTTAATTGTTTGTCATATAAAATGTGGCCCAGTTATTATGCGAAGAGGTTTTCTTTGAAATCGTTGTAAAATTTCTATGTTTAATGTGGATGCTGTGCTCCACAACTGCAAGCCAGACAAGTTTTATTATGCATTTATACAGCAGGAGTTTATTTTCCATAAGCCAGTAAAGTTTTATCAACTGCTAATCAAGTTCCTTTCTTTTGTTCCATATATATGCACTTTCCAAGTCAGTCGTCTGTCCATGTGTATACCTAGATATTTGACGTTGTTAGACTGTGGTATTTTTATTTAGTTCTATTCTACTTCTGGGAAATCTTCTCAAAATCTTTTAGCCACTTTGACATTTCATTGTTAAGATTCTCATGCATAAAAGGCGGTTTCATCAAATGAGAGTACTGCAGTGTCATCAGTAAATGTTTTGGTTAGTGCGTCTTGTGTGTCTCCACCCTATGAGCTAAAAGAATCATATATTTTTTATCACTATACCAGGAGCGTCTCAATAGTGGCTCAACTCTATAACTTTTTTATTTTTTCAGATAAAAAAACGATATTTGGTATGTTATGACATAAATAAGGATTGATTGACGTATTCAATTGTTTTCGGTTTTGGTGACTTCCTGTTTCACTGGAAATTAATACAACTTTTGATTTTTAAATGGTACCCTTGGTTTTTTTACCTTGTTCGATAGAAAATGACACTCTGAATAGAATGACATATCATATATCAACTTTTGACATTTTCTCATAAGGTTTATTTGAAACTGTAACATGCGGTTCATAACGACAATTTCACTCGAAATACGTGTGAGTTCACTCGAGCTTCCAAGTGTCTCAAATACCAAGTGTGTGGTACCAATTTATTCGTAAAAAATGCCTTTTCCAGTTGAAAAAATTGAGATATGATTAAAAATATTATTTAGACATCTTTGTCTAGCCAGGACAAGACACGAAAAATGTTAGCGATAAAATATATTTTTCAGAGGCTCCTTTATTAAAAATTATTGTTTTTAACACAACCATGGCACTCTAGATTGAAATTATTTGATAGAATTATTAAAATGCAATTTTTTAAAGCTAAAATGTCAAAAGTTGACTTATAATATGTCATTCTATTCAGTGTGTCATTTTTTATCGAATAAAGTAAAAATAAATACCGAGGGTGTCATTTAAAAATCAAAAGTTGTAGTCATTTCCGGTAAAACAGGAAGTGACCAAAAACAATTATATACTATCATACCAAATCTCGTTTTATATCTAAAAAAATAAAAAAGTTACAGGGGTGAGCCACTTTCGAGACGCACCCGGTATGATTAAAAATACCATTTAGGCATCTTTTAACCGGCCAGGAGAAGACACGAAAAACATTAGACGATCAAATCTATTTGTTGAAGGTTCCTTGATTAAAAGTTAGTGTTTTTAACACAGCCATTCTAGATTGAAATTTAAAATACGATTTTTTTAAAGCGAAAGTATCAAAAGTTGACATATGATATGTCATTCTATTCAGAGTGTTATTTTCTATCGAATAAAGTAAAAGAGAAAAATACCCAGGGTGTTATTTAAAAATTAAAAGTTGTAGTCATTTCCGGTGAAACAGGAAGTGACCAAAAACAATCGAATACGTTAATCATGTCATATACTAACATACCAAATCTCGTTTTTTTTATCTGAAAAAATAAAAAAGTTATACCACCATAGTGGGTGAGCCACTTTTGAGACAAACTCGGTATTTTGTTTTCGCAGACTATCTTTTTTATGATTGACGTTTTCTTTTTTTTGATTTTAGGTTCAATCTAGCGGGCGAAGAAACGAAATTCGGCTGCACTACACATCGCTCCAAGACAGGCGCGTGTACATGGAGACGTTTCACTACCGCCTGGCGGACAATACGTGGCACCATCTAGCGGTCACTGTTAGTGGGTCACAAGTAGAGGTTCTAGTAGACTGCAGTCCCCTGTACAAACGGGTCCTGAGGCCGGGAGAGCCCGACAGGAACGTTTCTGATCATTATCAGATCTGGGTGGGGCAGAGGCATAAGCATTATTTCTTTAAGGTAGGTAGTTGTTTATACTCATACTAAGGGCTGGCATAGGTTAGTTTTGGGTCGGGATTTCCGTATGTAAGAAGAGTAAAATGCGTTTATAATATACTGAACAAGGAAAGAACAGTAAAAACGTTGCCAAACGTATGAAATAAACCGAGAAACTGTGTGAAGGGGATATAGTAGATATTTGTCACGGTCGACCGGTCGACCCAATAACTGTGCTCAATCAGTACTTAAAATTATAGGGAAGCGTGTACATCATGCGTTCAGCTTCATGATTTAATTACGTCTCGTGAAACTTTATTAGTTATTAAAGAGTCGTTGTAATTTTGTATAGCTGTTAATTTTTTAAGTGCAAGTTAGAAACACTTGCACTTTTGGTAAAAACATTATAAAAATAAGTGGAATTGACTTGGTTTCGACAGTGGTCGCGCTATTAGAACTCAGAACATATTTGAATTCAGAAATCGATATCTCGAAATCCATTAGAAATAATTGATTGTAGTTTTTTTTAAAACGTTTCAAATATTTCTGCTATAATTTCTTCGCAGACATTATGTGAAACAGTGTATGTGTGTGTCTTTATAAATAACAAAGTTACACGATTGCTGAAAATTTCAATGTACTACAGTAAAGGGGTGGGTTTTTTAAATTTTTGAATTGAAAAAAACAAGCCTATCGAATTTTTCTTATTTAAACATCTTGTAAAAGATCCGAACTTCAAAATAACAAAAAATGTTTCAATATCTAAAGTAGTTCTTAAGTTATCGCGTGTTATGTGTTAAAAATTGAGTTTTTGAATAATCGCGATTACTGACGATTTCTCGTTATAAAAAATATGGACACCCTAGCGATATCCATATAATTCCATTTCAGATGCTTAGAAACATATCTAATGATTTTATCTAGTTATCTTTTTGAAAATAAGTCTTTAAAAATAAGCGGTTCGCGATCGTGAGTTTACTTGATAGGGAAAGGCATACTGGAAAAATGTAGCAACGCCGCAACAGCACACCGTCGCATTTCTCTCACTCCCACTTAATAAGATCCTTATGCGATTTACTTCCACACATGTAAATACAAACCCAAAAGTAAGAGTTGCGAGCACGGTGTATTCGAGTAGCGATATGTTTTTTTGTATACTATCAAATTTTAAAATATAGGCAAGGAATCTTAGATGGAACATGAATCATTTTTATATTGTTTAATTACTATAAGTTATCCATGGGTGTCCCTATGAATAATCCGTAACGAACACATCTGGGCCATAAGGGTTTAAGACGCCAGGCTCCCCTAAAATTCGGTTATGTAAGCAAGTCCAAGTGGTGATTCGATACGCCTGTGTCCTTTAGTTATAAGTATATATAGTTATAAGAAAATTAAGATATGCACTATAGTCTGTCCAACGAGAAGATCCTTGACAGTGATAGATGTGTCTGTCATTTTAATTTCAGAGTAGTTTATTTTATTTTACAAAGAAATAAGTTGGTATAACTGGAACGCATAGCAGGATATATTTAAAATTTGATTGACAAGATGACAAGTGATTACTTCAAAATATTGTGAAAAAAACTGCATAAAACTGAAAAAATGTAATCGAGTTATTTTATTTAATAAAAACGGTATGTGTTAATACAAAACAAACAAGAACAAGACACTACATACCAAAAAATATAAAAGAACTATTATTTAGTTTCAAGCTTTATGAAACTACCCGCATTTATGCTTATATTTATCAATATAACTTATGTACAAATAATAAATTTGTAATATTCCACAGGAATAAATAAAACAACATAGGTAAATAAAACAAACTATTTTATTAATAATAACACCTACCAAATTTTATACCTTAAAAGGTTGATAATTAAACTTTAATCTTAATTTTTTTAAACCAGTACCTTTTGACATTATTTTTCTGCAGTACTAAAATCCATTATTTACCTACCGTGTGATGTCGATATTTTACAGCTACTCCAGTTTTTAGTATGAGTTTAGTTTGATCCTTCTACCATATACGAGATGTACTTATCTACGACGAAATGGTATACAAACTTTATCGATGGCAACTTCATTGGTGTATAAGACTTTCTGCCTGGGCAGCGAGTATTAACCATAAACTGTGCTCTGGGTCTACATTTAATTTTCACTCGATTTTTCCTCCACTTGACTTCAAAAGACACAAAACACAAGTAATAATACGAATCAAAATGCATCATCTTCCAAAACGCAGGGTATTTAACAAAAGTTGACACAAAATTATAACCTATAATTTGGCAAGACTTTGACAAGCGTCAAAATGACAAAAATCTAAAGGCGAGTTCATAGGCATCGGCGTCCGTTTGTCGTTCATCGTTCCGTCAAACCAATAAAATTGAAATACGATCTGTCATTTTTTAAATAAACCAATAAAACTGGTTAAAAACAACAAGACACGACGTATGACGGATTTATATTTAAACCCATCCATAGATAACTTAAAAATTATTAGAAACTTTTTTTAGTAAAATAAATAGATTGGTATGGGACGTCATCTGCTTTTCTTCTGTCATCGTCTGTAGAAATCTTACAGAGTATATCTTAATTTTCGCAGATTACAGTTGAGGGTTGGAACCTTTGGTGTTACACAGCAAAATAAAAACACTAAATCACCACAATACACCAAAACACTTTTACTTTTACACTGGACGCGCGTTTCGCTAACCATGTTAGCATCATCAGCAGATGATTATAAACTAAAAGTTGTAATAAAAACTGTAGTTTATAATCATCTGCTGATGATGCTAACATGGTTAGCGAAACGCGCGTCCAGTGTAAAAGTAAAAGTGTTTTGGTGTATTGTGGTGATTTAGTGTTTTTATTTTGCTTAATTTTCGCACTTCATATGAAATAATGTATCACGTTGTACAACCAATCTTTCACCCAGAAATGCTCTTTTGTATTTAAAACATTTTGCACTTCATTTGAATAATCTTTTCACAAGAGCATTCGATTAAAAGTGGCGATATGTTTGTGTGTGGGGAAAGCACAGTTTTCCTTCAGTTCAAAAACTGACAGTACCATACCTGAAGATCGTATCGTTCGACGTAACTGCATTGTGTGTGGCCTGACAAAGTTTAGATCTTGAGTTCAGATCATACAGTCCTCATCATCATACATACAGAAGAGAAGAATATAATCATGTAATAGAGTTTTAACTTGTTTCATTACTTTGATTTATAATATCAGAAGTGGGATATTAAGCCTTAAGTTGGGTTCATATACACGCGAATTACGAATTACACAAAATAAATCCGGCGTTTATTTACGTAGTTCATATAATAACGAAATTTGCAATTAATTCTAGGGATATTTGTGTTTTCAAACATGTTGAAAATGTCACTTATCACTATATTTTTGTGTAATGAATGAAGCTACTAATTTTTGGCGTAGAAGGCGATCTATTGCTGTATATTTATTAATAAGAAACAACAAAAATAAAATACCTAAAACAATTGTAACATGTGAAATATTTAAAAAGTGAAAACAACAGGAGAAGATCACAATTTAGTGCAATAAACAAGAATTAACGATCAAAAAATTAGAAAATACCATAGAATGTCTATAAAGAATTTTGACTCTCAATGGTTTTTTTGAAAAACAATATTACCAGTTTGTAGTCAAAACATTCAACTTCGTACTGCAAATTAAAAAAAATGAAATTAGATTGTAAAAAAAATCTACGTCAGTGAGCAATCCAGAAATGGCTCTGAATGCCTCTTCTTCCTGGCATTGAAGAGAATACTTTCCGAATCGCTCATTTTTTAAACTAGTGATCAATATTATTTACTGTCATATTGACATTGGCATGCATGGTGTTATTTGAATTTTTAGGATAGGTATATAGTTAAGTACAATAATTTTTAAAATTCAATACACGCGAGTTAACTCCATTAAGATACTTGTGTGGTTACACAACTCGTGCTAGGCACTCGTGCAACTTTCACACGCGTATTTTAATGATGCTCTTAACTCACTTGTATCGTAAATATCTATTATTTAATTTAAATTTTAATTAGACGGATACCAAATTATTCTTAATAATTTTTTAGCAACAGTTAATAAACTGTTAGATAAAATATCACCCTATTTAACCAATACACCTTTCAGAACTCTTTATGTAAGTAATAATAGAGTAAATGGTGAACAATTCTCTGATCTATTTAAACAAATTGCTTATAGACATGACAAGTGCTGCTAGACAGAAATAATGATAAGCTTAAATAATAGATCAACAAACTCTAAATTAGCGGTGTAATATTTTATGCAAACAGACATGAAAGATTTTTCTATTGATTTATACTGTTTTGGATCTAAAGTATAGGGGTAGGTATAAATTGGGAATTTATTATATGAACAATTCTATTTTTAATATAGAGCTTTAATTTTGAAGATATTCATGCTGTATTTTATTGGTTTTACGTGACTATGGCCGTAAACTTAACAGTTATTAGAAGGTGACTAAATTTATTTGTTATTAAAGAGTTTTTTATTTGCTTGAGAAACCTGTTCGTTTGTTATATCTGTTATATTACTCTTCTTACCTTATTATATAAATACTTTTACTTAAGAGTCTATTACGCTGTACTTTTGCGCTGTACTTTTCTTTTTTGGAAATTTTTTGCTCTCAGGGGTCGGGTAAAGCGGATGTGCAGCCGAAGGAAATATATATTATATGTACAGAAATCTGCCTAAGGCTCCTGTCGTGTTAAGCCACACCCAAAATTGCACACACGTGCTTTGATTAAGGCTTGATTAAGGTTTTCAGAGTTTCAGCATTTGCCATAAAATAGCGAGCCATGTGTTAAAAAACCATATAAATTATGTCACTGTAATCACAAAACTTTAATCTATTTCCGTATTGTAACAGAATTTTAAATTATGTCTTTATTTTCGAGGAAATTTAGTCCAAACATAAGGAATATTTTGTTGATGGTTGGCTATCAAAATCTTAGAAATAAAGAAGTTGTCTAAAAATGTGCTATAATACGGATATAGTATAATCCTTTATACTTAATTTCCTTCTTTATTTGTGTAAAAATACCTAGCCAGTTTTACATAAAACGTTAAATGCCGAACGCATAGTTTGCTACTTTTTCGGACTAGTGAAATGGGCTCTTAATTAGGTAAGAAGTACATCCATATTTGACTACGTCCTTAGTTTTTTATGCAACTTTCTATTAGAATTTTAACTTTCTAAAAGTTAGACAAAAAACTGTGAAAATCCTCACAGTTTTTTAATCAGTATTAAAATAATAGCTCAGGTTTTACATAAGTATATAATTTTCTGATGCAACGTTTAGATTTAGACTAAGACACACAAAAAATCGTCTGGTACGGAAATAATTCTCTTCGCGTTTCAGTAAAAAATTATAATATTGCTTTGGAGATATGCATATCTTGTCACGAATAGTCTTATTCATCACGAAAGTCGGAAAATACTTGTTACTTTTTTTGCATTCATGATACGAATCGGATTTAAAGCCAAAATTATTATTTGTAGCACATTCTTCTAGACATCTAGACCAACGAAGTTTGAATTATGGAGTGCTTAATCCTTGAATAAATTATATCAACTTTAATCAGGGCTTTCTGCTTAAGCGTGCCTACTTAGATAATCATTTAAAAAAATCTCTAGTTCTAGTTTTTGTTAGAACAAAGTTTTGTGTATGGAAACAAGTTTGGGTATTTTGCCTCTGAAATCGAAATCTATGAAATAATATAGTTAGTTTTTATAAAATACCGCTACGTTAAAATCCACTCTGCACAACCAAATAAAAATATATAAAAAATTTGTCATTTAATTTAATTGTCTGATTTTTTAAACATAAACCAGACCCTACCAATTTTATAAAGTAATCTATCATAATTTACTAATATACGATACACACGTTGTGCTATTATTAGATGCCAGTAATAACACTAACGGTCACAACACCACTTAATTATAGAAAATTAGAGTGGATTACTGGTGTTGGACTCACGTCATAGCGTTTAAATAAGTTATGTCAATTATGGGTCACATTTTTCCCTCGGTAAATTGCCGTAAAAATATTTTTTCTGTCAACAAAATTATCGTTATTTGTATTGGGTAATATTGGAAACGTTTTATTATAAAACTAGGTAGGATATGTAATATATTATTTTCTATTTATGGAAGTAAATAGATATACCGAGTGTTGCTTCGCCGAAGTGCTCATAGGATATGACACAGTAAATTTTTACCATGACGAATAAAATTTCCCATTTTATTTTAGAGGAAAACTTACGAAACTTTTTTGGTTTGGAACCTTATTAAAAAAAGCAAATTCTCAATTTTTATTTTGTTTATTCTCAGTTATCAAAATTCTCAGTTTCTCACATTAACGCAATAATGTTTGAGTGTTGAATGGGATCATTTTAATTGGCCCTCTTTTACAAATATTTAAATAGTTTTCGATTTTTAAAGAATCGCTTATTTCTTTACTACTTTTCTACTATATCCACTATATTAGTATCTTTACTCTTTGAAAATTTGTTACATCTTTATAAATAACCTAAAATGTCAATATTCCATGGGTATATTGTGTATAAGCTAGTATTTTTTATTATCGCAACACAAAATTTAGTAAATAAAAAAAAAACTGCAGTACGATATTTAGGCTTAAAAACTTAGATAGTCCTAGAGAAATGAAGCATTAAAATTGTTACATGCAATTGCATTTTCATAAAATCTTACATTATTTATTATGTACGATTACATTATTACTTTTTTTAGACTTTAATCAAATTTACTTCTATTTACTTCTAAAAATGTAATAATAAAAAAATACAACTTTGTTATTTTTTAATTTTTTGCGACACTGTACCTTTTGCAAATAATTTTAAATTGTAGCTTTAGTAGTCCTCCAACGACCCCATCACTCACAATTTCTAAAATTCTAATTATTTGGCTACAATACTCCGGTCGAATAGCGTGAAAAACCCTGTAGGTCTCTTCAAAAAAAGTTTTATGGGTATTTCGCCACTGTAAGAAAATCTACCAAATAAAATAGTTATTTTCTGTAAACACTGCTGCGTTAATCCAACGGGGACTAATTGTCATTAGTGGTTTACTTATAAACTAATTTGCCTAATGGACAGAAAATGCTTAATGTTTCGGGAAGTATATCTCTTCCCGTCGTTGGAAGCAAAAAAAACACAAATAACAAAGAAAAAAAACTATTTAAAATACATAAATGCAACTATTCGAGAACACTTTAGTTTTTTTTTAAACAGATACGTCTATAAAAACCGTTGATGTTCTGTTAAAATGACGTTATATCAAGTTAAACTTCAAAATTAACAATTACTACCTGATAACAGTAATTATATACTTAATAAGGTAAAACCAAAAAGCTTCAAACTTTTTATATGATTATTTTTTAATTTGTTTTTAACTTTTATGTATGTTATGTTTATTTATGTTATATTCTTTAAAATTAAAGAAGCGATTACCGTATATTACTAACATCTACAGCAAGACATTTAGTTTTATTAGATTTTATTAAAAATGCCTCTTTTATTTTTCTTTTAGAGGCTATCCCTTCTTTCACTATAATTTTTGCGTTGTTAAAATCTACTCTGTACCCTGTGTTCCATGAATGCTGACAAATCAAAGATTTGTGACAATCGCCCTTTCTTAAATAATTTTTATGTTCTTTAGTCCGAAAATTTAAGGGTCTAGATGTTTCACCAATATAAAATTTATCACTTTCACATGGTATTTTGTATATTATATTTTTTGTTTGATGTCCATTGGTTTAGTGTGAGTTAAAATCTATCTAAGTAGATATTAGACTTGGTTAAACATTAGTGTTGCACAAGAGTCTTGAAAAAGTCTTGCAAGACCAAGACTCTTCTTCGCAAGAAATTCAAGACAAGATTTTCAAAATTTCTTGTCTTGAATTTCAAGACAAGACAAGACTTTAATATGCAAGAAATTTCAAAAGTTTTGCAAGATTTCTTGAATTTAGGATTTCTTGAAAATTAGATTGTTTAGAAATCATTATAGTTATTAATAGAATTGTTAGAAATCACACATTTTTTTAAGATAATTAGCGCAAGTTATGCCGGGTTTATACAACATTTACATAGTCGTAATCACAATCATAGTCATACTCATAAAAGTTAAACTATCCACTTCTTATAACCTGTTGACATCTACCATGAACTTGGCCATTAATTATGTTACCAAAGTTCACTGATATAAGAATTATGATTATGAAAATGTTAAAAAATATCTATACCTACCTATGAAAAAAAAACTTTCCGAAACGTTAAGCATTTTTTTGTTCGTTAGTAACTATTTTATTTTGTAGATTTTCTTGTAGTTGTGAAATACCCATATAGGATTTTTTGGAGATATGAAAATATTCTATAAACGCACATTAAAAGTGCGTTGTGATTATGACGATGATTAAGACTGTGATTACGATTTCGACTTACGCAAATGTTGTATAAACCCGGCATTAATATTGACCGGTGTTCATTTTCTATCATAGCCAGTGTTTTAGAGTTGAGAATGAAATAAAATAAAGTCGAGGCAACAAACCGTATATATGTTGTTTATTTAATATATGTTTTTTATTAAATATCAAGTAATTGATATTACACACAAAATTATATTGGTATAATGGTATTATAAAAAAAAAACTAACGGTAATTGAAACTAATGTTCGTGGAGCACACTATTTGCACTATTTGGTACTACTTTTCATGCACGAAGTTGCTCCGCTAACAAAAAGTAGTATCAAATAGCGCAAATAGTACACTCTAGCATGACCTTTCCGTACACCTTGTGTCCAAACTTTTCAAACCGATTTTCCATAATAAAAAAATAAAATAAATACTATAAAAATAAAAGTAACAAACGAGTAACAAAAATAGAACATAATAAACTAACAAGAATTAACAACTAGAAATAAAAAATCAACTTATGGAAATTCATCCATCCAGGAATTCAAACAAATTAAACTTCTTACCGATTTTGAATTTAGCCGGTTTCTGTGTTTCCTTATTACCAGTGCTGCCTTCGAAAAGAGTCTTTCTGCGGGAACAGAAGTAGCCGGTGTACAAAAAAATCACGAGCAATTTTTGACAGCACTGGGAATATAGCACTATGGCTCTGCCACCATGCTAAAATATCTGTTTTATCGTTCACTCTCTGCATAGACAAATAATTTTTTTGAAGTTCATTTTGAAAACCACTATCAGGTAATGGCTCCTGTTTCGTCAAACGGGCGAGTTGACGTAGTTCGTTTGCGGTCCGTTAAGATTTTTTTGCTAAAATTAGCATCGTTGTTGTTCATTTTTCCGTATTACATTTTGTATACGACGCTTTCTATGAAATAAAATATAGAAATATTATTACCTTTTTGTTAGAATATAAAATTTTTCAAGACAAGAAATTTCAAGAGTCTTGCGAGACAATACAAGATTTTGCCATTCAAGAAATCTGCAAGACAAGACTTTGAAAATTTCTTGTCTTGAATTTCAAGACAAGACAAGAAATTGATTTTCAAGACAAGAATTCTTGTCTTGTGCAACACTATTAAACATACTCTTATCAACTGTTAACTAAAATATATTTTTATTTGTTTCAGGGTTTTCTACAAGACGTGAGATTAATAGAAGGCTCCCATGGAGTCCTGGCTGTGTGTCCTAAATTAGACGTTTCCTGTCCCACTTGTGGTCAGTTTCTGGTTGTTCAAACCGCTGTACAAAGCTTGGAGCGCAAACTCGTCGAGCTATCCCAAAGGGTAGGGTGAGTTTTTCTTTTACGATCCTCCAATGACCGTAAACGATAAAACTTTTTATCAAATTTATAATTAAAATCAATTATTCTATTAAGTATTTGTTAATTCACAGGCAGAAGTCAAAAGCTAATAATTCAAATATCGTATCACATACATAAAATATCTAGCATTATTGTCAACAGTTTTAATTATTATTTAATATGACTTTTTATTATATTCTTTCTATTCTTAAATAAGGGGATTTTAAGTAATTTTACATCAAATTCTCATTTTTCATCATTATCATCATCTTTATTAAATTTCTAGATAATAAATAATTTAGGTTAATAGTACAATTATGAATAGTACAATTATGAATTACTAAATGCATTTTGTCCATTTTTAGGGTTCCGTACCCAAAGGGTAAAAACGGGAACCCTATTACTAAGATTTCACTGTCCGTCCGTCCGTCCGTCCGTCTGTCACAAAGGTCTATCTTATAAACCGTTATAGCTAGACAGTTTAAATTTTTACGGATAATGTATCTATGTTGCCGCTATAAGAACAAATACTAATAACAGAATTAAATAAATGTTTATAAATAAAAAAGTACTTTCACTAAACATTATCTTTTAAGTAAGAATTTTACATAGAATCTTTGAAGTCCTCGGTGGCCGCGTGGTTAAAGCGTTAGGACTTTACGCTGCTATGACGTTGGAGCCGTAGTAAGGCAGGTTCGAATCCTAGTCAAGGCGACTTTTTTTAATCGTTTTTTTTTATTTTTACATATTTTTACATATTTATTTTTACTTTTTACATATTTACTATTGATTAATACAATTTTTAGTAATGTGTTTTTTATTTTTTTTTAATTACTTATACGCGCATTCAAAATTTCAGCTAAATCGGAAAAAAAGTTTGTAATAATGTAGTGTCTGATGTTGTATAGATAATGAATGGTACGGAACCCTTCGAGCGCGAGTCTGACTCGCCCTTTTAATGTGTTAAATACTTTTTATCCCATTCGAATTAAATGGCGAAAATACCTTAGGCTTTCTATGTGCTATGTTCATTGGCGGTAGACAAACAGAAGTATATCCTTGTGTGCTGTGGACATACTACTGTTTGTTTGTCATTTCCAGATGAAGAGTTTTTTTTTGGTACTACAACTTCTCTATTTTTTGAATAATACTACTTAAAAGAATGAATGAAATTAATTGGGGATACGGACCTTGGTAGCAGAAAAATAAAGAGAAATTTCACGTCTAAAGGACAGTCAACAGTTTTTTTCAATTTTTCAGATATCATCAAAAAACTAGATTTTTCACATGTAGGTGTACTATTTTTATGATTTTTATTTTACAACTTCCTTGCAAAAAACCTGGAAATTTTTCTTTGCTTGCCAAAATTAATTCGAAAAGATGGACAAAATGCATCTAGAAAGTCTGCTCCTCAATTATTGTATTTATGTATTAAAAAGCACCCCAATATTTAAACTATTTATTAAATTTTGAGGTATATGTAATATTTTTGTTAATTCAGATGCAGACTTTCAATATAGACAACTATAAGCAGTATCTGTAAATATTAATACTTTGAAATATTATCTTATTGAATTCCTTTTTCAATAATTTCAATTCACGAAGTATCTCCATAATATTATTATTTTTCATAAAGTTTAATACTACTAATTATTTATTTAAAGGTCTTAGTATTTATTTATAAACTGCGTTCCCACTTTTTATTTTTTAAGATCAGTATATTTGCGATTAATAAAATTCTATGTTAAACTTTTACAAAAAAACACTAATATTTGTTATAATAAATAATAAATAAAGCTTTATTGTACAAAAAACCAAAATGCTTCAGCGATAAAGCATTTACAAAACAAAAAAAAGCACAAAAATATACTAATAATAAAAAATGTACAATATCATACAATTTAAAAAAAAAATAAGTCATTAAAATTACAAATAGAACATACATAGGACATTGCAGAACACAAAAAAGGCGTATCAATAAAATTTTACAATAGGAAAATAATTGTAAATGGATAATTTTAAAAGTTATGAAATATTAAATACTAGACTTTTAACCAGTGTGTGAGATGATCAAAATTTTAAAATTCAAAATTGTTCATGATTAAACATCAACAAAAAATTCGTTTACCACATATAGGGTTATGCTAAATCCAGTGCCTTTTCCACATTGATAAATTCAACTACTTACTTCTACATATAATAAAAATTGTATTAAGGAGTTTTAGTAAGCTATTTCAAAAAGAATAAGTATTGTAATATATTTATGTACATTTACCTTTAAAATGCAACTATCCTATTATCATAAATAAATAAATATGTTACGCCAGCTGTGAAAATGACGTTTAAATAAATTATTGTGGCAACAAATTTTCCAACATTTACGATTGAAATTATGATAACTACCATCCAGCTGTCGAGTTGACTATCAGATTAAAATGTTTGAAAAAAATGTTTAAAATGTTGACATTTTAAAAGCGTATTTGTTTGTTCAAGTTGCTCAGATACAATCGACACATTTTCGATCCGGAAGTACTAAAAATACACGGAAAAAATATAGATAAATATATCTCACAAATAAAAATAAAATGGTGGTTTGAGTTAAACGTTTGAAACCACTGACATCACAATTTCAATCTTGAAGATTTATACAGGACGAGTCTTAAGTAAATCCAAAATAGCTGAGTTGTTTGTTTATTTTTTGGTCCCTCTGGATTTTTTCAGTGTATTCGTTCCTCTAAATTTAATCTATTAACTATACCGGGTGCGTCTTGAAAGTGGCTCACCCCCTATAACTTTTTTATTTTTTCAGAGAAAAAAACGAGATTTGATATGTTATTATATGACACAAATTGATTGACGTAGGTATTCAATTGTTTTCGGTCACTTCGCTTTTCACCGGAAATGACTACAACTTTTGATTTTTATACGGCACCCTCGGTATTTTTTACTTTATTCAATAGAAAATGACTCTGAATAGAATGACATATTAATATGTCGACTTTCGACATTTTCTCATATGGTTTATGAGATATAACATGCAGGTTCATAACGCGTTGCCAAATTATTCGTAAAAAATGCTTTATCCAAATATGGTAATGACCCTTGTTCCATTTAACTAAATTGAGAAATTTGTAGCGTTTTTTATAAACATTACCACTGCGAACGGCAGCTTTTCATCGGAGAGCAGTCGTGGATAAGGTATTTCACTGGAAAGAAAACTAATTAATAACAATAAACATAAAAAATAGATATTGGGCGCCAGGCATGTACAGAGAAAGAAAACACAGTTGTATATTACTTAAAACTAATGACTATATTTATTCAAGATGGACTGTGATGGTAAATAGCATTGTACAATTTTAATAATTATTATAGTGGTTATATGTCAACGAAAGTGGTGTTAAGAATTGTACTAAATATCTATGAAAACAACTATGATAAAATACAAGACATGTAAAGTTTAAGAGAATATATGAAATGTAGCATTACTTTAATTAATTTGATATATTTTTTATGATGTTAGTGCAATAATAATATCTATAAAAAAGTAATACTATTACAAGGCGTAATATAATGAAACCTAAAATCTAAATCATATTGTAACTACTAAATCGACATAAATGTTCTTAATAATCTAACCACTAAATATAGTCTGTACGATATTATTTAAAATGTACGTTATTAAGTTAAGACTGAAAATCGACTGAAAACCAAAATGTAAATCTACACTTAGCTGTTCTTGAGTAGAGTAGCAGTTTCGAAGAGTAGCAGCGTGAGGTAGGCTCATATCTCTGTACTGTTTCTCGGCTATCCTGTTGGCCAATACAACAAAAGCGGCCAGGATGAGGACACCATGAATCAATACAGCCGTAGCTACTGACTAGGCTTAGAAATGGGAGCGAAGCAGCATGGGGCTTACGCTGTATCCATACTGTGGCAATATGGGGACACTACCCGTACCTTGGAACACTACTAGGACCTTGGATAATGTCCGTAACCTGGGCCATAAGCTTGGACCATAACCTTGGACACAGTCCGTCCATAAGACAACGGTACAGGGGAACACTACCCGTACCTTGGATACTACTACGACCTTGGATAATGCCCGTACCTTGTAAATAGTCCGTACCTTGGACCCTAAAAATATGAAACTCTTGTTTAAAACCAAACAAGGTCTAATAAACAAAATAAACCTACCTCGAAGTACTTCCGAGGGCTCAATAAAAAACAAAGAAACTGTCCTTTCTTCCATGTAACATTCTGCAGGACAAAAGAAAAGGGACGCCAACGTGCCAGCAAAATACAAATACAAGTTAAGTTGGGACATCCAAAAATCTACCCTAAAAATATGCAGTAATAATATCGAATCTAAAAGGATGATATCTCATCTTTACCTGTTGCTTTGAAATAGCAGCTGATTCAGATTATACAGCAAGATTTAAATAATCACCATTTCTAAAAGCCGGGATGGTTAGGTTAGGCTACAGAGCGCTAAAAGTAAAAGTCAGTCGACAGCACAGAGAGTTGACAGAAGCGATGTTGACAGCGCCTCCACAGAGCGATAACAGGGTTGTGTCAAACGATAACAGGGTTGTGGACTAGAGAACGTAAAAATTTGTCAAATAAATTATCCGGCCGGAACGATAGGGAATCCGGTGATGATACGCCAGACATCATATATCATAATCAAAGACATGTAACGAACTAAAAACGTTACAAATTATTAAAAATACGATTTGGACTTTTTTTAACCGGTTAGAACAAGACACTAAAAACATTAGACGACATAAATCTATTTTTCCAAGACTCCTTGATTAAAAACTAGCATTTTTAACACAACCATGGCACTCTAGATTGAACGAGAACGTCAAAAGTTAACATATAATATGTAATTCTATTCAGAGTGTCATTTTCTATCGAACTAAGTTGAAATTTACCGAGGGTGCCATTTGAAAATCAAAAGTTGTAGTAATTTCCCGTGAAACAGGAAGTGACCAATAACAATTGAATACGTCAATCAATCCGAATTTATGTCATATAATAACATACCAAATCTCGTATTTTTATCTGAAAAAATAAAAAAGTTGTAGGGGTGAGCCACTTTCGAGACGTATCCGGTATACATTTTTCCTTTAAAATGTAACTATCGCATTATCATAAATAAATATAAATTACACCAGCTCTGGAAACGACTGAAACTACGACATTTAAATAACTTAAAATATCGCAACAAACATTTATGATTGGAATTATGATAACACTAGCTGTTTTTTAAAAAAGCCTAGCTGACGATCAGATAAAAATATTTACATTTTTAAAAACATATTTGTTTTCCTGAATGTCTAATAATCGCTCTGAGGCGATAAACTCGTATTTTCGATACGAATGACGTTAAAAATTTATGGAATTGATACGTGGAAAATGAGTTCCTAAAAAATGAAATGTCATTTTTCGAGTTAAACGTTTTGATACTTTTGAAGACGAGATGGTTGAACATAAGGATCATAGATAAATTAAACAAGTTTAGATTGGAAAGTGCCCATAAGGACAATGTAAACACTATTTGGCGCTATTCTTGCGGTCGCGACCCAAAACTTTTGAAAATTGCGGAGCGGTTCGGCTTTTTCCGGAATTATTTTGCCAAATATTGTTTATTCAAATTTATTATTATTTCCTTTTAATTTTATAAATAAAATACAGTGTGTTGCATACAAGAAACTTTATTTTATATAAGGAATGTATGAAATACCTATGAAAAATTGGAAACCGACGTTATGCCACGATCCACGATAGTTTTTGCAGTTCACAGAACAGCTTTTTAAGTTTTTAATGCCACTTTTTCACAATTATCACGGGTCTGAGTAAATAAAACTAAAATTAAACTCACAAGATAGCAACAATTACTTTGAAAATGGACGTTTTAAACACTTTTTGGATTTTTTTCAATGAGAGCGGTTTAGATTTTGAAAGATTTTATCATTTTTGAAGATTCTGACTTTGGCAAGAGAAACTTATTTCTGTTTTTGTTTGCGGTTGTTTTTAGCAACCGCTATAGCAGCGCCATATCGTGTACAACGGTCGCGACTCAAAACAATTTCGCGACCCAAAATTTCGACGGGCATTCCAATCTAAATTTATTTCCTTTATCTATGAATAAGATTTCTCAACATCATTGTCAATCAGACCATTATTGTGTAGCGATAACTGAAATATTTCAAAAATATAATCTGACTTCTACGACTTTGTTTATAAAGAACTAAAAAGTTATTACTTAATTACTCAATACTGATATTATTTTAAAACAGCTGCAGTGGTCTTGTACTATTCTACACAACGTCTTTTCTAGTTAGCACACGCAGAAATGAGGTTAACGCTCGTTGAAGATTGTGACTGTCAAAAATCGTGCAGATTGAACGACACAATCCACGCAGACGGTTCAACGTGGCAGAGGGGATGTGATATATGCTCATGTAAGGTAAGATGTAACCCTTATTTCTATAATTATCCATCTACATTCTTTTACTGTAGTTTTTTTGTAATTCTCTAGTAAATTTCACACTTAATTACAATACATTTTTTGTAACTGCATAATATGTTTTGTTAACCATTTCAGCATCATCAGGAGAAAAATCAGATTATAACTAAAGTGTATTAAAAGCCTAATATAAATGGTGTTTTAGAAGACATGTGCATTCGTCACGTAAAAATAAGATTTAATTTATATTCTAAACGCTAAAAATACTAAAAAATGGAAGAAAATTATAATAAATAAAAATACTAATGAAGAATTTAAGCCTCTGTAGTAACAAAGCAGAATCGGACCAATGTTGATGTAAAAAATAAAACTAATTTTTACGTGAGGAATGTCTCCACGAGAGAGGGTACATGTTTTTTGAAACACTCTGTATTTATGCAAACGACGAAATAAAAAATGTAAAGTCATTATGAACACAAAGCTTCATTCAGAACCTCGCAATAAGTGGAATAAATTAGTGGTTTCAACTACACTTTATACTTTTTAGTTTACGATCATTCACAATGCCTAAAAAACACAATTAAAATTAGAATATCCTAGCAACAGCTTGCAGTAATCAGTCGTATCTATAGAGAAACCCTTATATTTAACTTATAAAACAATAAACTTTTGGTTTCTAACAATATTTTCTTTTGACGGCTGACTAATCAAAGGCCAAAATGACATTCCCCGCAAATGTTGAAGTATAATTAATGGAAAAGTCAAAAGTTTGATTACATTTTCCACTAATTGAAAATTCCACCCCTAATTTTGACGCTCTGAACGCTTACATTCAAATTAGAGGAACAAACTTCTAAGCTATTTGAAACCATTAATTTATTCTACTAATCGCGATTCTGAATGAAAGTTAAGTTATCATCGATTTTTTGAGTTACTTAACTTGTAGCCTACTCTGGTTTCTAATAATTTTTTACACTTATTTGTAATCGACAAGCCAATGCTTTATACTGATGATTTTAATATAAGGAAATTTAGTTTTATTAGTTTATCTATGAGTCTCCTTCTGCTTAGCGAAGCTTATGCTTGAAGTCGTTAAAAAGTATTATTGCTAATAGTATTGGCACGAATTAAATAATCAAAATCTAATAATCAGAAATGAAATTAACTAAACCAAAAAATATTACAGTTTTTTTAAACTTTCTGCTAGAACTATTACTGGAATAACGTTAATGTACGGCATTAATGTTATCGACTTTTTATTTGGTATTTAAAGTTGACATTGTGCCAAAGTTTTTTAGTATGCGGACATAATAAATATCGCTGACAAATACGATAACTTTTCTACCTCTATTATGTCATATCTATTTTTGTTTCGGAATAATGTTATCAATGGAGTATTTATATATTTAAATACTTTCACAATTCTTTAGACTATGACTCTCATTTATTTTTAAGTTACACAAGTTATTATATCTTTAGTTGTTCCTTTAATATCGATCTAATGCCTTCTTTTTATAAGATTTATAATAATATAATATAAGATTTTGGAATTTTTAACCAATAGCAGCCGATTCTCGTGATAGAAGCACAAATAATTGATAGTCCGTTTGTTAGTAAAAAAATTATCTAATATTATAATTAATAATATTTTTTAAAAAGAAATTAAAAAAAACATACTAAAGCGATACAAAGTATGAATAAATTGTCTATTTGTGGAGATGGCATCAAAAAATTCATATTTGTACAGGGACATAATTTTAAGTGCCTCGCCCATTTTAAAATTCTCCTGTGTCCTATTTTAAAATAGTAAACAAATATTTTAATGTAATTTTTCAAGAGGATGCCGATTTTCTACATCAATTTTTTTTAAAAGGTCAATTTGACAGATACGACGCCATCTTGATTTTTTTTAAATGGGAACCAAAAAATGGTAGACATTTTAGCTAATTTCAAAAATATACAAGTTGTTAATTTGTTTATTACTCGCGGCCAGAGCTTTATTGTTGAAATATGGCAACCTCGGCCCGCTCGTCGATAGACGACGCGACGGGACGAGTCGGCAGAAAACCCTATAAGTGCATACGTTCTAATAGGCAGTGTTGCATTCTGTTCCCCTATAAGTAACTGTCCAGTTAACATTCTGTATAGTTTAGTATACTTTGCACTTACCGTTTTAGATATACAGTGGATTTAAAAATGAATTGTTTCAGAATCATTTTAATTGTCTCACCCAATTTAAAATTTTTCTCTTTTCTATTTTAAGATAGTAAAAAGATATTTTAATGTAATTTTTCGCGAGGATGCCGATTTTCTACATCAAATTTTTTAAAACGTCTATTTTGACAGATACAACGCCGTCTTTCTCTTGTTTTAATGATTTCGGACGTGTTTGCAGATCAATCCGATTCGATCCGACCGATCCGATCCGACCGTTCCGATCCGACCGTTCCGATCCAACTGTTCCGATCCGATCCGACCCTTCCGATTCGACCGACCTGATCCGATCCGATCCGACCGTTCCGATCCGACCGATCCGATCCAACCGTTACGATCCGACCGATCCGATCCGACCGTTCCGATCCGACCGATCCGTTCCGACCGATCCGATCCAACCGTTCTGATCCGTTACGAGTCGAATCGAATCGAAACAAAAAGTGTCTTGAAAAAAACACGTCCGAAATCATTAAAACAAGAGAAAGAGTGCATGTACCAACTTCCAAGATTATCTACCATGGTCTGGTAGAGATATAGCATATTTTTCACCAAAGTGTCTTGGATAGTTATTTAGACCACAAAATTTCATAAACCCAGGTTAACTCATTGCGGAGTAATTTAAAAATTATTTTTTTTCTAGCATTTCATTTCGTATCTCGATAATAATGATCTCGATAATAAAATTCTCTCTTGCTAACCAAGTCAGCAAGGACTATCATTATTTATACTTCTAGTTTTTAAATTAAAAATAATGCCAGCAATTATTCCTAAAATTTGTGAAAATTCTTTTGTGAAAATCATGGACCATTATCACTGTGTAATAATGGTCCTAAATTCGCCAAAAAAGGTAGAGTGTGTTGTGGAAAATAAAAGAACATATTTTTATTTATTTGAGGGCCGGCTATTAAATGTTAATTTAATGGTACTTTGATGTTCTTGTCTTAGTGTATTGGCTAATAAATTGTTACCAAAACTTTTAATATCTAACTTTTAATATATTATTATCTTCTAATTTTGTGTTCTTAAATGTTCTTAAACTCTTTGACAAATAAGAACGTTACGATTTAAACATGAAAATATTGTATCGTCAGATTATTAGATTGACTTTATTATATTTTGTTTGCTATTTCTTCACTTGTATCAGAAATAACATTTTTAATTTTGATTGTGTTATCATGTATATTTTAAAGTATTACTACAGTGCAGTTTTAAACTGCTAGTCATTTATCATAAGATCATCAATTTATGTAATTTTCATGCATTTGGATACGAATACCATTCAGATGTAATAAGTGAATGGCATTCATATTCAAATACATAAAAATTAGAGGATGTCTTGATTTCAACCCCCTGCATATAGAAAGAGGTACATGCAAAGTATATTAAAATATATATTTTTGAAATTAGCTTAAATCTACCGTACCATGCTAAATTATGTAGGGGTTTCAATTAAAAAAAATCAAGATGGCGTCGTATCTGTCAAAATCGACTTTTTAAAAAAAATTGATGTAGAAAATCAGCATCCTCCTAATCCGATGCGATCTGACCGTTCCGATCCGATCCGATCCGATCCGACCGGTCCGATCCGATTCGATGAGATAGAGAGAGAGAGAGATAGAGATAGATGCCATATCGTACTAGGATTAAAAAGTGGGCTAAAGATGCGATTATTGTTTGCTTTAAAACGGCTTCTTTAAATTTACGCTTTTTCCAATGAGGTACCCGAGCACTTTAGTCAGTGTAGTTTTTTTAGTCACTGTATATCGAAAACGGTAAGTGCAAAGTATACTAAACTATACTTTTTGAAATTAGCTAAAACATGTCTATCGGAGCATGCTAAAATATGTGGGGTTTCCATTTAAAAAAATCAAGATGGTCGTATCTGTCTAAAAAATTTTGATGTAGAAAATCGGCATCCTCGCGAAAAATTACATTAAAATATTTTTTTACTACTTTAAAATAGGATACAGGAGAATTTTAAAATGGGTGAGACACTTAAAATGATGTCCCTGTACAGGGTGGTCGAAATTGGTCTGTTTTAACGGAGAAAACATATTTCCTGACTAGATAGAGCAAAACCGACACAGATGTCATGGGCTCGATTGCTGAGAAACGTTTAATGGCCTAAACCGCCTGTTCATATTTTCACTGGCAACCGAGATACGGAGTCTTTTTGAATTTTTACCATTTGGAAAATTGCCCATAACTTTTGTATTTCCCGGAATAATAAAGTTCTGTAAAAACGTTCTTAATGCACTTTTTTAAGTACAATCCAGTGGCATAGTCAGTTTTTTTCTATACTTGCTTTTTTAGTCAGAAATAATAAAGAATATAATTTTTTAAATGGAAATCATAGATGGCTATGAACTTAAAAAAATGGTGGCGTATAACCCTTTTCAACGATATAAAGTTATGTGTATTTATTTCTAAAAATGAGAGAAATTTTACGTTTTTTATCTTTGTATCGAAGTGGATTTTGTGTTGACCTATAGTTGTCTAATTATTTTTTATCACAATTTAATATTCTATATCATTATTTATCTGTATAATTAAAGACTTTTGAAAAGGTAAATCAACATTCTATATTATTATTACCATTTACAATTAAAAAGCCAGGGTTACAACTGCACTATTAAATGGAGAATTTAGAGAGAATTGGATTGGAACAAGGGATCCCATATCTTGGCCTGCTAGGTCCTGTGATGTAACTCCTTTTGACTTTTTTATTAGGGAAATTAAAAGGCCTTATATATAAGGGAAGAACCATTGGGACTAGAGAAGAATTACAGAAGGCTACTAGGCAAGTTTTTGGACTTATTACACCAGTTCGCCTAATAAATTGTTGTAACTCTGTGCGCAAAAAATGTTTATTGTATATTTAACAAGGGGGGTGCTCAGTTTGAACATCTTTGATGATTTTTTTTAGAAAACTATATTCGTCACTCAAAAAATACTTTTTTTTAGTTTTATTCTTTGTTTATTGTATCGATTTCAGTTGTAATTACTAATACTAATATAGAAGGTTAATTTACCTTTTCAAAAGTTTTTAGTTATGCAGATAAATAATAATATAGAATATTAAATTGTCATATAAAATAATTAGGCAAATAGGTCAACACAAAATCAAGGCCCGCTTCGATATAAAGATCAAAAACCTAACCTTTCTCTCATTCTTAGAAATAGATGTCCATAACTTTAGATTATTGAGAATGGTAAAACGCCCGCATTTTTTTAAGTTCATAGCCAACTATGATTTCCATTAAAAAATTATATTTTTTATTATTTCTGACAAAAAGAGCAAGCATAGAAAAAAAAACTGACTACGCCACTGGATTGTGCCTAAAAAAGTGCCTTAATAACGTTTTTACAGAATTTTATTATTCCGCAAAATAAAAAAGTTATGGGCCATTTTCAAAATGGTAAAAAATTCAAAAAGACCCCGTATCTCAGTTGGCAGTGAAAATACCAACAGGCGGTTACGGTTACATTAAACGTTTCTCAGAAATCGAGCCCATGACATCTATGTCGATTTTGCTCTATCTAGTCAGGAAATAGGTTTTCTCTGTTAAAACAGACCAATTTCGACCACCCTGTACATGCAGGGCTCTTATAGCACACTACTAAATGTCAACACATATTTTTCATAACATAAAACTGTAAATTATTACACAGTTATATGTAAGCTATCTACAACACATAAATCCGGTTTTAAGGTATTTAATAATTGTTATTTTTTTTAATATTATAATGCTGCTATCAAGAAAATACATACTCTGGAATGTTTTCAGGAAGGAGAAATTACATGTCATCCAGTCAATTGTACCCCACCAGGCTGTCAACATCCTGTCCGGTTAGAAGGACAATGTTGTGAAACTTGTTTAAGTAAGATATATGATTATGTAACATAACTATTATAAGCATCACCGTGTTTAAAATATAAATATAGCAAAAGAAAACAGTATTTTATATTATACCTGTATAAAATAAACCAATGACTAAAGAATACAAGGACCAATAACACCAGCAGCCAAATTGTTACCAGTTGACATTAAAGCTATGTGGCCAGAGCCGTGTCAAAGGTTTAATATAAAAAATGCAGAATTAAGTAAACATTGTAATTTTTATTGTTTAACAAAAATTTTTTTAATTATTAGTCAACGGCTTTTAAGTTTATTTCTAACAGATCAGTATTTTACAGGAAAATTGATTATTCAATTTTTATCTCACAAAATTAATTTGTAAATGGAACCAGATGTCGACTAAACTGAGAAGTTTACAAAATTTAGTTTAGTACTTAATGCTACTTATTATTGGACTTATTTATTTATGAATAATCTTTATTGCTTACGTATAGACGTAAGGGTAGATGTACCTTAGGGTAGATGCTGCTTTTTTAGGTGGCGTCACAGCCCGACTCTACTTAACAAGCCGTGAACAACCATTTGGCAACGCCGCAACCGGCAAGAGATTCAGATCGGTTTCTAGCAAGCGCGAATGCGCGACGGGCCGTTTTACCAGCTATCGAGGCGCGTATTTTTAAATGAATTTAAGGTTTGCTCAAATTTGCCACATAAAACTAAAAAAAATTGCCACATTACTTGTCAAAAACAGTCCCTGTTCCCCGAAAAAGTCCTGCTGAAAGATCCAAATAAATGCTAAAATGGCTCACTTCGATCTTGTATTTCCTTGGTTCGTTCAGCAGGACTTTTTCGGGGAACAGGGACTGTTTTTGACAAGTAATGTGGCCAATTTGGAAAGATACTAGGCACTGTATTTAACTTTAGTCTAGTTTTAGTAGGTACCTTTTGCATTGATCCATCTGGCAAGCGATAATCCTCCTCCCTAATAATGTCACTTTCTACAAAATGTTTAGCACAAACTACAGAATATTTTGAGGGTGACCATGCCTCCCTAGGAATATTCCTAAACCATTGGGTTTTAAGGTTTTCATCCTTTGGAAAGGTAAAAACAGATACCGCTGGTTCTCCTGCATTAAGACAAGTTTTATAATTGCATATGCATCCAGGCACACAACAAGGACTTGGCATGGTAATTTTTGATTACAACAACAACTAACTTTCAATAAATTGTTTTATAAAGCACCACAAAATTTTCATTCGCCGCCGAATTTGCCGCCATTCTTTGAAGAAAGCACTTAACCTCGCTTATAACCCGGCGAATTTTTCACCCAAGGATATTTGTTTTTACGCAATGTCTACGGAAAAAAATTGTCCCGGTAACTTACAAATTTCACACAGTAAGACTTTTCACAACTTTAGTCTTCAACTAAACAATATTTTCTTTCAAAAAAGCGGATTTATTTACAAAAACATAACAGAGCAACAGGTCAATGAATGTAAATCATATGGCTAAACGTGTATCGATCGATCTGAAACCAGGATTGCCAGATTTCCTTGTTCACGGCTTGTTAAGTAGAGTCGGGGTATGGTGGTGCCATGCCATTTATTTAAAATTTGAAAACGTTTCCAAAAGGTACAAAACTAGTATGGATTATTATGCCCAATGCACATATCATAGTCAGCTTTAGAGAAATAATTATCAAATTGAATAAAATAAAAGCTAAAAAAGTGGAGTGCATAAAACTAATTTTTTGTTATATACTTAGAAACGTAATTCCTGGCTCTTTATTGTCGCTGTGGCTTTTACTCTCGAAAGCCGAGCAAATCACCGTTGCAATAAAGTGTCAACACAAAGCTCATTACAAAACAAACTAGTAAAAATCACTAAAATTGTGCCTGTAGCCACCTCCTTTGTTTTGACCAAAAAAATGATATCCTATAATTTTACATCACCGATTTTGCTCAAGCCCGTATAATATGCGTGTTACGCGTCCTTGTATTCTTTAGTCATTGAAATAAGCTATACTAGATTTCAACAAATTCTAGTTAAAAAAAACTCATAAAATTTATGTAGTAGTGTTACACAACAAACTATTAAAAAGCATTAGTAGTTTTAATACAATATACGTTGACTTTTAGAGGAATGTTTGTTTAATGGTAAAATGTACGAACACGGCGACATAGTAACAATTGAGAAGTGTAAAGACTGTACGTGTATAGATGGGTCGATGGACTGCAAAGTTTTGGACCCGAAAGACTGTCCCGTTTTGAGTTGTCCGGTTGAACAACAGCTGTCCGTGTCCGGGAGTTGCTGTAAAATATGCCAAGGTTAGTCATATGGATATTGTTTATATTTTGGGTATTGTATAACAATAAATTGTATAACATAAGATTTTAAAAACCCTCTAATCATATACAGGGTACCCCATTAGCGTGAAGAAGTCGAATATCGTTGTTGTTATGTTCTGTTATGTTATATACAGGGTGTCCCAGGCTGAGCGTGCATTAGAAGTTTCTATAGAACTACAACATCTAGCTTGGAGATTTTTTGCACATTATAGTTTCACAACGAGATCTTTCGATTAAAAATATTTTCAATATTACGGCACTTCCGAAAATACAGGGAAGTTGACAGCAACTTCCTTATTTTAAATGGGTGTCCCCATTTTTTACTACATACTTATATGCTCTGTAAAATTTTATGAATTTTGATATTAAACACTTTATATCGTTGGTCGTTTTTGATCGAAAATATTTAAAATTTTTACGAAAAAAACTGCCTGTCAAAAATATGTGTATATCCTAAACGTTAAATTTAGTGATTACCACAGCCACGGTGCCATGAAGAGAAAACATGTGGCTATCTATCTCAAAAGTTAAATTGTTCGAATATCATATAATAATGGCCGCAGATGTCATAGAATTGAGCGATTAAAAAATTATCATAAATCATTTTTTTCAAATGGAAACCCACTTTTTTTATTTCACTAGTGAAAAGGCTTCTCAATTCGTTACTTTTTGACTATGCATATTCCTATATCTAAAATAAATCGTTTTTAAGTTATTTATGATTTAGTTTTAAAGCGTATATTTTTCTTGATTTTAACCAGTAGCCTGTGACTTTAAACGTCAAGTGATGTAAAACAATAGATCTGGCCATGTCATATTGTGACACTTTGTTCAAAAAGCAGCATCATTTCTGAATCAAATTGGCGCTGTTTTTTTTTTCGATCATACGGAATATTATTAATAATATAAACAATTAGATATCACTAAAGAGCGAAAATACCAGATAGGTATATTTTTATAAATATACTTTTTAACCTCTTAAGGCAGACAGTATTTATAATATAAGAAATTCATATAATGTGTTTTCTGACAGATGGAAATAAATTGTCAATTGTCTGACCATTTGACATTTAATGTCAAAGGAGGCTAGATAAAATCAATAAAAATATACGTTTTCAAATTAAATCTTAAGTAACTTAGAAACGATTTATTTTAGGTATAGGAACAAGTATAGTTAAAAAATAACGAATTAAAAACCTTTTCATTAGTGAAATAAAAAAAGTGCGTTTCTATTTTTGATAATTTTCTAATCGCTCAATTCCATGACAACTACTAATTTAATTTTTGAAATAGATGTCTTCTCTTTATGTTACAGTGGCTGTGGTATTAACTAAATTTGACTTTTAGGCTATACAATTTTTTTTGACATTTAGTTTTTTTCGTCCAAAAATTTTAAAGGTTTTTTTCTCAAAAACGGTTAATGTTAGATATAGAGTGTATTAAATTAAACAATATTCATAGAATTTTACAGAGAATCTAAGTATGTAATAAAAAAACTGGGGACACCCATCTTAAATAAGTAAGTTGCTGTCAACTTCCGGTATTTCCGGAAGTGCCGCCATATTGAAAATATTTTTAATCAGTAGATCTCTTTGTAAAACAATGATGTGCAAAAAATCTCCGATCTAGATATTGTGGTTCTCTCTAATGCACGCTCAGCCTGGGACACCCTGTATGCAAAAGGTCGCGGTGATTAAAAATGCATATCCTAAAAATATTTTATTGTAAAGAGGGTGTCCCAAAGTTTTTTTTTAATTACAACCCCCATTTTTCATTTAATTTTGATCAAAGCCACCTTATGATATTTTGCGTTATAATTTACTATTGACACTTGTTTCATATCTTCGTCAACGACGATATTGGACTTCCTGACACTAATGCCACCCTGTGTGGCGTTTTATTTCAACTAAAGTTTTTTTCTTACGCACCAAAATTTTGATTTTTTCTCATATAATATTGTTGCTCTTTCTCTAAAAAAACTTTCTCTAATGTTTTGTAAATGTCTTATCATAACTATGGAGTGTAGAGATGACGAGAAATATCTCGTATGGGACTTTACTTGAAAAAGTGGTCACAAAAATTGGAAGAATAATGGTTCACCAAATAACCACAGTGGCGCTAATGACGCATAAATCTAAAAAATGAAAAGTAACCAAAGATAAGAGAATAAAAGTAACAAAAAAAACTTTGTTTTTATTTTTTAGAATATAAAATAATTATTTTTATATATATATATATATATATATATATTAGTATATATTAGATTTTATTATTATTATATATTAGAGGCCTAGTCTATTGCTGCCCAAGAATAATCGATAATTTATTTCATGTGACGAATAAAATTTGTATGTTTTTTGAAACCCGCGCCTTCACGTCAAGTATTTATCTCTTTTGAATCATTTCCTGTTCTAAAAATTTTCGGCGCCTATTTTAAATTTTAACTTTTTGCTACAACAGCGCTATCTTAAGTCTTCCCTTCTTTATGACCATTTTTAATGCACGAAGATATTTCTCCTTGCCTCTACACTCTATAATCATAACTAATATTGTGCTTATTTCATATAATCATGCTTAATACTGTTTTCCCCTTCCAATTAACAAAAACATATCCGTTTAATATTTCAGTTTATTTATCTTCATTCTCCTAATATTAATCATAATGTCAAGTTCAGGGAAAACCTACGCCCTAATATTTTGCTACCTACGGCTTTTATTAAGTAATATTGTGATGAATGGACATTACAAACAGTCTATACATACCCCAATACATTTGTGTTTGTTATAATTAACTTTCTTAATTAAATTACAACGATTAACTGTTTATCAGGCTTTTTGTTTTGACTGTTTGATGTTGAAAAATTATCTACAAGTTGATGAAACGATTAAATAATTTAATAATTTTAGGAAAAAAAAACATTTTTATTTACGTTTATAATTTAGAACACAATTTTCATAATTTGTCTGGATCTGATAGTCAATTATATAATTAGCATAACTTTGTTTTAACTAGTTTTTTACCATACTTGACTGCTTCAAATAATTTGGGGTGCTTGGATTTTTTTGGTTTGTGCTTTTTTACTGTATAGAGTGGCTCCTTTTATATGACACGAAGGTTTCAAGGAAAACAGTAGTTTGTATTGAAATGAAATTTTGGGAAATTAAGACTTCGTTCTCTCATCTTGTCGACAGTAGCTGATGGACTTCTATAAACACTGTTTTTAACATATGTATCTCCAAGGTTAATTGAAAGCATTTTATGTATAGAGTTCTACAGGGTAACCCCAAAAAACCCAAAAAAATAACGGTGAATTTCATTAAAGAAGCATATTTACCGTTTTTTTGAAAATGAAAAAAACTTTAAATTTCGGTAAAAGTTATCTAAATTGTAATTTACACTGTTCTATAACCTGATATTTGGTTAAAATAACCATTTTATGTTAAACCAAATTAAAAGTTGACCCGAAAAGTTATACAGAGTGAGATAAAATTAATATTGAATATTGGTCACATTTAAAAGCAAGTTACTCTTTTATTTTAGATGGAACACCTAAAAAATTAAAGAATATAAAGTAAAATATTCTATGATAATAAACAAATACACGAAACATATTTTAATTATCTCAGGATTAGAACTAGATATGTTAAGGTACAATTATGTGAAAATAATAGTTTGGCTTTCTCTTTGCTGCAGGTTAAGTTTCCGTTTTCGGCAAATTTTTAAGAATTTTTTTCGTTTTAATTGACAAAAAATGATAATTAGTTGTAAAATTAAACAAATTTGTCAGCTATGTTGAAGTAACTTCAGGCATATCACAGCCACTTAGATTTTATCAATTAATAAAGATTTACTGACACTAAATCATAAAAATGAAAATATATAAGAACATCTTTGTTTGACGGGTAGGCAACCTTAATAGTATAATGAAGAGATTTGAATTCTCCCATTGAATATCGAAATAATATACTGGATATTCTATTTAAAATAAAAGAGTAATTTGTTTTTAAAAGTGACAAATGTTTAATATTAATTTTGTCTCTACTTGTATAACTTTTTGGATTAAGTTTTAATTTGATTTAAAGTACAAGGTTTATTTTAACTATATATTTGGCTATACCGAGTAAATTCCAATTTAGGTAGTTTTTATTGAATTTTGAAAATTGGTTCTTCATTTTTAGAATATGTCAAATATGTTTAAAACCATATATTTTTCTCCTAGAATCCGAAAATCAATTAAAATATATAGTGTTTTGTTACAAAAAAACACAACTTTGATGTTTAAATATTTTTGCGGACACCCTGGAGAACTCTATATATTTTTAGAAAATGCTTTACATTAACCTACACTCATCATCACTCACAAAATTTTTATTTTAATAGAAATTGTCGTTCTCCTTGGAGCCTCCGCGTCGTACGAGAAGCGCCACCCTGTAGGCATGATTCATCACAATATTATTTAATATTAATGATTTCATGCAACTTGATTAATCTATTAACAACCCTCACATGCTTAACTAACGCATTTTTCTCTTCCTTCGCTAACTAACTTAACAGGTATTGACTACTGTGCCATGGGACATTATTGTCACGCTAACGCCACCTGCCGCAATTTACAAACGACTTATGCTTTGCCAGTGTGACCAGGGCTTCAGAGGCGACGGAAAACTATGTTCTGGTAATAACATTTCCTTCATTCGTTGCCTACTAACTATTTATTTTCATTTATAGTTTTATCTCTCTATTATTTATAATATTTTTTACCAATTTTACATTTATTAATTTTGCGCTTGGTACACATACCTACCAGTAACCAGTATATGTCTATTTGGAGCGTTAAGTCGTCTGGGATATTTTTATTTTGTATGGTAGTATTTGTTTAATAGTTATTTACAGTACAAGTGTGTTTATGAACATGATTACAACAACGAGTGTGAACGATTAGAACGACGAGGTCGTAGACCGAGTTGTTCTGATCATA